AACCACTGGTCCCCGTTGAAGGGAAACCAAGAGAAGGTTGCGAATGGTCTCCTGTCTTGGTGGGGGGTACCCCCCGCAGCCAGCGCAATTCTCAGCAAGCTTTACCTTCTCTTGCGAACCTTTTGATGGGACCCCGAATTCGTGATTTTCCTGTTGGTATACCTTTAAAACGACAAAAAGGGGTACCCTCAAAAAGAGACACGCCCATGTGCCAATTGAACAGTTTCATTTTGGGTCTTAGGTGGGCACTCTTTGCCTGAACTCATTTCAAAGGGGCATTGTGGCTGGCAGAGATTTGGGCAGGTTGGCACGAGCTCACTTGAAGGCAAGACAAGCTCACGACTCGCTTGCGAAGAGGGTCCCTTTTATAGGAGGATTCCTTCTGAGTTCGAGAGTCCGTCGGCTGGAAGCGCCACTATGACCTTAGGTAATCGGCAAGGAAACAAGGCGGTACTTTCTGACCCGGATTTTGCTCGTTTTAACTTGACCGCTATTCTGTTGGATCTTTAGACTTTAACTTTTGGGGAAATCTCTGGGGGTTTTCCACTAAACACACAAAAAGTCAAACTTTTTGCAGGGGGGCCAACAGCAACCAAGTTGACTTTAATCACTTGGGCAGGCCATCTTTGAGTGCCACAGGTGAGTTGTGGCGCACGGTTCAAGTCGCTCCGGTCCGCTTTCGCCCAGGCGCCGAGGGCGTGAACATGGGCACGCGCTTTATGGCCACCAAAGAGGCCACGTGCGTACCTCCGCACGTCGGGTTGGACGTAGCGGGACGCGAAAGCGGGGCATGTCTCACGCCCAGTTCGTTGGACTTTTAAAACTTTTCGGTCTGACGGTTTTTGCGGTAAACAAAAAGTTTGGCCACTGCATGTTTGGCCGTTCCACTCAGGAAGTGAGAGGAAGGTATTCCTCTTCTCAGTTTTTCAAAGCGAATCGACCGGATCTGACCTTTTGGTTTTCCCTTTTTGGCAACCATTTCTAGTCATGGACCCAAAAGGTGAACCTTTTAGTTCTGGGTCTTTTGGGCAAGTGAGTCTTGGTATGCCAAATGGGATCTCTTTTGTCAGCTTGAGAGGTATTGCATCGTGTGCAGATGTTGTGGTTGTTCTGGTTGCTTCCCCATTCGTTTTGTTGTTTGCAATTTCCATGGCTCCATATCCACATTTGATGCTGGGCAGGTAAGGCTTGGAGCACGCATAGAGCAGGCATTGTAAGCGTCTGACGACAAACATGGCCGAACCTGGCGACCTTACTGGTACCTGCACAGCTGAGCCTTCTTTCTGGTTGGCGAGTCTTAGCTTGTGAGCGGAGAGTACACGCAATGGCCCACTTTGTCCCACCTCTTTTACAGAGGTCTCATTTCGAGAAGACTTCACTTCTTGAGTTCCTGGACTTTTTTTCTACTTTTTAGGTTTGGACCATTTCGATGGAAGATGCCATTGGTTTGGCATGTGGGGTCCAGTGGAAGTGCAACAGCAAAACCCTGCAACTGGGGGCGACTACGATTTTTAGGTCTCCCTACGTGGATGCGTGTTTTTGAGGTTGGAGCCCCCACAATGCTGGGTGTCCTTTTAGTTTCCCTTCAAAAACCACCCAAAAGAGGTTCGCTTCAAAGAAGGGCACAACCATTTGGAACCCCCAGTCAATTTATGTCGACATGTCCAGTTTCCCTCGCGCGAGCTGGACTTTCCGGTTCTGGGGAACTTTGTCCTTAAGGGCCCGCAGCGATTGCCTCAGCCAGCATTTCCTAGTGTCTCGCCATGAGTCATTCTCCCGGTCCAGGGGTAGCCTGTTTCAGGTTCTCTCGATCGGATTAACAAGTGCCAGCCTGTTGTCCGGGTTCTTCAAAACCAATCCTTGATGCTTAATTGCCTTTTGCTGTGGCTTCCCGGCTGCCTTTTTGCCGTGGCTTCCCTTCTTGCCGTGGTGTCCCACTTAGATCAGCGTGCTCCCCTCTCCTGAGCTCCCGTTTCCAATGCGATGAGTTTCTGTTTGAAGACCATGGCATGTCTGTTGACTTTGTGACTTTGGATTTGTGACTTTGGATTTGTTTCCAGAGTTACACAACTGTCCCATGGTCATAGTAGTAGCTTAGATTCACAGTCCTACCCATTTGAACTATTCGGTCTCTGGAGTCCCCTATGTTTCCCCTGAACATTTTCATCATCATCCTTTGGTGTTTTTCTTCGGATTCGAGGAGTTTCCGAGTGGGGGACAAACCGTTCCCCCGTCATAAGAACATCGTTGAAGGGGACGGCAGTCCGCGGGTTCTCCGGTTCTCCCTGGCGAGGCGCCGATTTTGCAGGGGATCAAGGACGCCATGGTCAAGGCCAAAGTGACGGACCGCTCTCCGGCCATGCCGCGCGGCGGTTGGGGCGGGGGAACATCACCGCAGAACTTGGGCTTCGGCAAGGTGGACACCCAGAGCTCCTCTGGTTGGTGAGCATAGCGTCCCCTGGGAAGTCCCTCACTCCAACGCCGTGGACATCCGGACCGGTGAGGGTGACCGGAAAGCCATGGCAATCCTTCGCAAGGTCCGTGGGAGACGGATCCCGGAGGGGAGTTTCTCTTCGAGACATAGCCGGTTTGGCTCGCACCTGCAATCTAGAAAGCGGTTTGGACGTGGCTTTTGTGGATCCACCCCCTGTAGGATATTAAAACAGTATGAAAGGGAAGAACGGGTGAAGTCCACAGCAAGCGCAGCCAGATTCCCGGTGTTTGCCCTGGTTTCGCATCAGCCCAAAACAGCGTCTGCCTTTTTGAGGGTACCCTTTTGAGGATTTGGTGTTTAGCAAGAAAGGCATTGAACACCCCAAACCAAAAATGGGGGTCCCCTATGTTGAGGCAAGCTTTCTTTGTCTAGCTTTCCATTGCAGCAATCTATCATATATACCCCCCCCCTTGCTGGTGCCCAGGACGAGCAATGATACCGTCAGCATTCCATGCGTTGTGTTGTTTTCGGAAAATTACTGGACATCTCGAAACAGAGCGCTATGAAACCATTGGTTGCTGATATGGGTTTGTTCCCACCCCTTGATTTGGTGCTTGGCCCATTCAGGCAGCCGATCAAAATGTCCATCCGTGGGTGAACAAACATATTCCGACCTTTACCCTTCCACCAAATGCAGAAGCTAAGACTTGCAGAAGACCTTCGCTCACCAGCGGATTGTCTCTCATTCAGACGGACATAGACGGCCCGAATCACATGGAGGGTGCGGGTCTGAACAAGAGTGAGTGCCTTGTTGGCCCGGAATGCCAGCTTTTAAACCCGACAGGTAGGGGCTTGGCAAGCCTTAGGATAATTTCGTCTTGGGGGTTTTGGTAATTCGGCGGCTGGTGGTTACTTCGGGCCGTTTTCTACTAGCGTGAAGGTGCATCTCGTTGAACCTTTTGTGCTATGGGAGCTATTGGAGCCTTGCGATTCTGTGGCCGGCAGACTCCTTCAAATGAGGATAGGGACTCAATGGGGGTTTTTTGGCGCTCAAGCAGAATTGGAGACGACGTACTCCAAGCACCTGGTTTTGTTTTTTTGTTTTGAGATTGTTGGGAGACAAACAGGTCCGCGACAAAAATACCTCGTTTTTGCTGTCAGTGGTTGACATCCCTTGAAACAGTGGGGAAGCTGAGTCGCTACAAGAAATGAGCAGCCCAAGGAGATTCGCAAGGTCCGTTCCTTAGTTTACGAATGCGTGTGGTTCATATAGAAAGAAATGGGTTTCCAATGGACGAATCGGCGCTGATTCATTAGGGGCTTCATCCACTGGTGTGGGAAAGAGGGAACACCGCATTGACCAACCTTTCAAACAGCCCAGCGGTTCGGTCGCATACGGCTTTCCAAACGTGACTCCACTGAGGCCTCAAGTGTTTTCTTTGTTGCAGGCGCCATTGGGAGCTCCATCAAAGGGTTGGGTTACAGGAAAAACTATGGGAAAACAGCTTTTGTAGCGTGTTTTGGGGCCAGTTCCTGCAGTTCCTGCAGGTATTCCTATAACCTATGCTCTTGACACCAGTCCAGGACACAACGCATGTGTTCCGGACCCTCTCAAACACCGAGCGGGTGTACAAGAACAAGACGGCGACGGAGGCGAAGCCCTTCCGGCAAGGAATTCGAGCCTTGGCGGTTTCCGCGAATTGTCTGGTTCCTTGGTTAGGTTTTGGGTTGGTTTAGTGGGGTTTTGAATCGACCAATGGTCCCTTTTAGGAGAGACCAAACTTCGTGGGAAGACCGTTTTAGTGGCAGATGCACCACTCAGCAAGTGAGTTCCGGGCAATTTTTTGGGCAGGCCAAGTGAGATGAGGCCACTTTTAGGGGAAGACGTGCTGCTTGCAACCTGCACGGGCTCGATTCCGGTCTAAAAATCATGACACGGTCATCCAAGAATCAGGGAAGTGGACAAGGGCCGTTTCAGCGGATCGTTACCTTTTGTTGCGCTTCCTTTGTGGAAAAACAATGTCTTTTCGCTGTCCGTGGCAGTGAATCGGCTCAAAGACAAGCTGGCACTGCAACGAGCAGCTATGGCACCTCCCTCCGGTTTGTTTTGCATTTGCACTAATTCTACATGGATGTTCAACGTACAGAACCAGTTGTGGGTTTGCATATAGTAGGTTATCTCCTTTCATGCCCACCCTTTGGTACCATAAAACTGCTCCATTCAAGTTCTCGTAGACTACAGGTGAGAGGGCCACTGGAAAATGGAGTTTAGGGCTGGGGAAACACTTGCCGGATTGACTTTACCACACCTCTGACTATACGACTTTGCCCACTCTTTGCTTCAAATCGAACCTGATCTGAAACAGAAATAACTTACTTCCATTTGCTTTTGTTCTTTTACTTCCCCTCTTGGTTTTTTTAGGGAATCGATTTACGAGTGAACCTATGTTCTCATTTGTTTCCAGGGGAAAAAATCACATGGAGGCAAAGACACACAAAAAAAACAAAAAAACGCCTGTGGCGGAATGTCCTAAGCTCCTGGCCATGGCGAGAAGAGCAGCCGGCCATGGATTTGGCGGCGGACTCAGCCGCTCGTAACGCCGCCCTTAACGCCATGCAGCACGGCCAAGGTGCCCACTCACCCAGCGAAGCCGGATCTGGGCTTTGGGTTTCTTATTTTTGGCAACCATTTTTTTAGTAGTCCCAACAGGTGATCACTTAGTTGGTCCAATGAAGGCAAGCTAGGCACTCCCTCAGTTGGACTTTTTTTAGTTCCTGACTTGAAACTCTTCAGGAAGACCACTTTAGTGGAAAAGAAGTCAAATCCACTCAGGAAGTGAGTTTAGCCTTGGAACACCCTATTTTTGCAAAGAGAGTGGCGGCCAAACGTGTTCCTTGCCGCAGGCAATGCCTTTCCGCGCGAATCCTTTTGGTCTGTCTTCTACTTTCGGTCTACTTTCCATGGGTCCAACAGCTGAACTTCAGCTTGTTGCTCTCAAAGGGGACCCTTAGAGCCTGTAGAGGTCACACCTGCACATCCAAACCGCTTTCTAGATGTTTGATTAAGGTGTCTGTTGATTTAACATGAAGCTAATGGGAAGCCGCCCATTTCGCACTTGAGGCCGAAGCCCATCACCTCGTTGATGCGCCGCGGCCCTTGTGAACATGGGAGGAAGCAGGGACCGGTGTTTTAACAGCTCTGGTGGAACACATGTAAAAGCCCATGTTGTCTGTAGGTTTGCAAAGAACATAGCTACCATCATACCAGGGGGCTGCGAAGAGGACCATTTTGCTGACGAACCATGAAGGGAATGGGAGGGCACCGATGACGCCTTGAACGGGAAACCGACACGAGTTGATGCTCAAAACTGTAAGAGAAGGTTTCACGTGCGTTTCTACAATTCAAAAAAAATCGGAAAGAATCACGAGTTGATTTTGTCATGTGCAAGAAAAACCGACTTCCGCTGCAAGCGCCAGCATCTCTTTGGTGCATTTTGCTTGGATGTTAGGACTTTAGCCTTTTGGCCACTAATGGGTTTTCCGAGTTAAACCACTAGTCAAGTATTTAGCAGGAGAGCAGAAAGCAACTGAGTTTTCCTGGTGGTTCCCGTTTGAAGTTACAAGGGTGTCTTCCAAACGTTTGAAACCGGAGCAGAAAGCAACCGAGATCTGAGGTTCTCTACGAGTCGCCTGTGCTGCTGTTTTGCGGCTTGCCCGGCGCCGCACGCCTGGTCGAGGCCTCGCGCGGCGTTGCGGCGCCAGCGCGGCAGCGGCGGCAGGAGGCGGGTTTTGAGCCAAGGGACGCGGCGAATGAGCCATGCGGATGGACAAACTGTGTTCGTAGCGCTTGGAAACCATGGGAAACCATGCTGTTTCTTGTGCATTTACAGAAATATCATCATTCCAGGTTGTTTTTGTTGCTGGCGAAGGATGTTGTCCATCCACAGTAGGTGTCCTTTTGGGGTTAGTTAGGTTAGAAATAGATGGGTTCCACTGGTTTAGACGAGTTTTTTTTTTTTTTTAAGGTCTCCTATGCAATGAGCTCCTTCCACGGTTGGAGGCCCAACCCTGCAGGTGGCAGATGCATCGCCTGCAGGCTGGAGACCTGGAGACCTCGAGTCGCGGAATTGGGCGTGGAAACCCACACACGTGGTTCCTCCAAGAAGGATTTGTTTGGGGTTCCAGTGGATAAACAAGCTTGCCCCATTGTCCCCCTCCAAGGAAAAAATCGGGTTTCATGCGAAGTAGCAGTATAGAATGGTTTCATGTGACGCCTTTGGCTTTTTTGGGCAAGCCAAAAGGAAACTGCAAAGTCTGAGTGAGGGTTCCACATAGCCAAGGTTTGCTCGAAGGCGTGAACCCGAGCTCAGACAGCCTTTTCCTCTAAGGGTTTTGGGCACATTGTTTTTCCAATTCGACCATAAGCCGGCGTTCTTTTGCGGGACCCGCGTGGAAATCCACGATGGGAAGCAATCAGCACTTTGGGCCACTCTGAAAAGACCGACGATTCACTTGACTGCAATTGGGTTAAATCTTTGGACTTTAACTTTTTGGGAAATCTTTGGGGGTTTTCCACTAAACCCCCCAAAAGTTATTCACTTTTTGCAGGGGGGTCGTTGCAGCAACCAAGTTCACTGAGTTTTCCCTTGCTGCGGGTCCTGGAGCCAGCCGCCCAAAGGCACCAACCGAATGCGTTTGGGCAACCAGCACCCGAGAACCTGTAGACGGACACCGGACGGAGGGTCCTCCAAAGTGCGGCATGGTTGCCCGTGTTTGCCCGATTAGTTGGGCTTATGGAAGGAACCTGGAAGAGGTCGAGACATAGGTTTGCTATCCATGCGTCGCTGCAAGTCAAACTTGGAACCCCCGAATTTGCCTGCTTTTGCGGCAGGGCTTGAAGCTTCTCCGAGTTTAAAGGACGATCAGATCACAAAAGGTGGCACTTTTTCTTGATTGCCTCCCCAAAAAGAAGGGGGAGGTATTTTCGTTTGTCCGGACCCATTTAGCACCCACTGTCCCTGTGGTTCCCGCCCGCATTTCTTCCCTTGACGCTTTGGAGCGAACGAAGGGCAATGATAGCCTTTTGAGGGAGTTTGTAGCTTGGACCACGTAACCGAGCAGACACACACACACACACTGTCATTCTTGACATTTGTTTGTTGTTCTCATGTTTGGATATGTTTGGTGTTTAGGGCTGTTTTTTTGCTCATTTTTTGGTGACTGCAAAGATCTTTGCCCTCCTTCTGGCTGATACTGTTGGACGAAATCCGCCACTGCGGGATGAACCACTACTGGGATAGCCACCGAGCTGCTGCGAAAGGGGTTCTGCCCATCCATGGGCTGCGAGAAAGCTCGCGGTGCATCTCGTCTTTCTTGCGCGCCGTCAGCTTTCATCCTGGCGCGGGGGGACTACGCGCAACTCCTCCGCGGAGATGCGCAGCGCTGGGAAGAGGACCCGGTTCATTTCGACGGATTTCTGAGGAGATCGGTGGATTGGAATGGGACTTGAACCGATTGGCTCTTGGGCACATGGGGGACCACCCCTAAAAGGCATCGGAAGCAAACATAATTTGTAGAGTCTACTTTTGGAGCTGTTTATGATAGCAAAGTCTTAGTTGTGTCACATTCCTTTTGCCTGAGCCACTTGTGGCTTTCCATGGTTAATTGAGGCTTCCGACTGGTTAGAAGTGGTTTCGTTTAAGGCATTGTTCTAGATTACCGTTTCTTTGTTCAACGTAGTTCTAGCAAATTGTGGCAGCTTTGGGCAGCCTCCACCCACTCCCTTTGTGCGCTGGAAGGGAGGTCGCCTTGATTTAACATGTATCAATGATGCGCTTGTCCTTCTGTCCCTTCTGTGCAACCAACCGAATTGGGAAGCAAGTGGCTCGCTCACACAGTGCCGGTTGCCCTCTTCAGACCAGCTCACACGAAATGGTTTTCGTGGTTCGTGGAGTGCTTATTACCCGACACCTTGTCAGTCAATAATGATCCAGGATGCAGCCACCCAACAAGCCAAAGCCCCGGCAGCTTTGCGTCTTGACTCAGTTCTTTGCTGGAGGCATTGAGAACATACCAAGGCTCCTATTTGACTGCGGTGGGTAATCAGCTGTTTGCCTTTTAGTTTGCAGAGGGTGGTGCCTTTACCAACCTACAGAAAGACCGCCCTGAGCGTCCAACAGGGGAACGGTTCAAGACAGGTTGAACATGATGTCCCCCGAAGGGCCCCCACTAAACCATCACACCCAAGAGACCCCATTTGAAGCAAAGTAATTTGACACGAAATCCGAGGAGCTCCTTCCAGATGGGCCCACATACCTGAACTGTGCCGCTACCTTTCATGGCGACGAACTCTACATTGTGGGCGCCTCGGTTCCGTTTTATCACGCGCCGCACTAGTGGCGTGGTTTTGGCACATGGGGAATCGGGGAAGTAATGGATCATGGCCAGACTTACACCTTCAAGATCACCCCGTAACGCCATTTTGGCTAATTTTCCCCCCGCCGGCAGAACAAAGTTAAGTCTTGGCAGGGGTCCGAGGTTCTAACGTTGGCCGGAATCCGAACTACCAATGACCCAAAAGGGATCGGTATCCTTAAGAAAACCAGGAATCCGAAGCACCTATGACCCAAGGCTTTGCTAGAACCCCAAGAAAACCAGGAATCTGAACCGTCTATGACCCAACAAGGGAATCGGCTTTGGGCGCGATTGAAAAAACGGTTCTAGCAAGGTCTATGCTTTACAACCCAATAAAGCTAGGCAACCGCACCAACCACGGCGGACGAAATCCATTTCGCACCACTGTGAAACCATGGTTTTTTGAAACCACTTTTCTTTGAAACCGCAGTATGGGCGTTACCCCCCCAAATAAATGGGGTTTCCTTTTAGTTTCCCTTTGAAGTTAAAAAAGGGTCCCCCCCAAAAGAAACCGCACCACCTATGACCCCCCAAAAAGGGGAGGCCCAGTGCCCCGCGTTTTTTTTTTGTTTCGGGCGCTCGAGGCGGGGGCGCGCCGTACCTGGAGAGCTGCGTGGCCAGCTGCTGGCGCTTCAAGCTGATGGGCAGCTGGCAAAGCCTAGCGCCCATGCCCACTGCCAGGAGTTGGAGGGATCATATTCACTGTTCTTGGTTCATGTATTTTTTCTTTTTCTGTGCATTCTTAGGGGCGCAAAGAACAAAGGTTACCAAGGTCGCCGTTCTTTTTTTTTGGGGGGGGGGCTGCAAAGAATAAAGGTTACCAAGGTATGCCAGACACCATAGTGATATTTCATATTTTCGGGCGATATGAAACAGGCTTGGTTGTTTGCTTTGTGAGCTCCAGATGGCCAGTAATGCTCGCCATTATGCTGCCATGGCTCCAGTTGATATGGATTTGAATCGGACTGTGAGCGAAAGGGAGCTGTAGGGTGGATTGAATTGAATGTCGGACACTGGCTTTCTTCAGGCGTCCAGTGGGTTTCTGCTTTTCTCTTTATGCTCAAGGTCAGGTAGCCCCTACTGTACTTTGTGGCTTGAATCGGTGGCTTGGGGATTTGCACTGGCTCTTGTCCAGGGTGAATGGGAGCCACCTGCTAGCCTCCACCCCAGTGGGCATACTGGGCGCGCTTCTATTCCCATAGCCACCGCAAGTTTAGGCCGGCAAGCTGAGCCAGGCGTCCGGGAAAAAAAAAGAAGACATAAAGAACATAACTAGAGTAGATGCCAGACGAGATCCCCCAAGGCTTGATGTTTCAAGGGGATAGATGTGATAGATTGGGCACCCTGTTGAATTAAGGGTCCCTGACATATGCTACAGATTTACTGTCACCGTCGCCAAAGCAACAAGAAATCGTATCACAGGGATGTTGACTTTGAACCCCGAAGTGCTTGAACCGCTTGCAACTCCGAAGCAATCCTGGCGTCGCTGGCGTCGCCGGGGGCCGTTTGTGTAGCGGTTTCGCCCTCAAAGTTGTTCTTTCAGAATTGCGGTGAGTCTGGGGTCCGCAGAAAAAAGAGTTGACCCCGAAAAGGGGTCGCGTCTTTTGACTACGTCCACTGCGTAAGCGGCGTTAGCCTGCTTGACCTTTTGGACAAGGACTGCGTTCCCGGAAGCTAGCAGCTGGCAAACGGGTTGACTTGTCAAACACCGACAGTTCTCTTCACCACATCAGTTTGAGACTTGCGTCGCCTGGTCTTCCAGGAGCCATTGTGCCGCAGTGGTCGCCTTTGACAAATTGTTGGCAGCGTCGGCTGCAAGGGATAGACCTTGAAAAAGGGTGCCCAAAATTCTTGATCGTGGGTATGTGTCTTTGTCTCATTCCGGGTGGTTCTTACTTTTCCGGGGCGGTGCAAGCCAACAAAAGCGTGATTGAGTGCTCATCAGTCAGAGGAACTGCAGTATCAAATCCCCACGTTCCGCTTGCGTGACCCCTTTAGGGTGAGAATGGACCCCCTCAAAGAGATGTCCTTGCAGACCCCAAAAATGACATACCCTTCTCATAAGCTGAAGATGATGATTTGTGCATTTGTGTTGAACGGATGGCCCGTGTACAACCAACGCATCCCATTCACAGCCCGATTTTTGGTCAGTGTGTCCATGTACACAAGTATGATGTTACAATCATTTTCACAAGACGGGTCTATTTGTTTGGCATCATCGTCGTCACTGCCGTCGTCGTCGTCGTCATCAACATCGTCACCGTCGTCGTCGTCGTCATCATCATCGTCGTCATCATCATCTTTGTCATCATCGTCATCGTCATCATCACCACCTTCATCATCATCACCAAAAGCATCATCGTCCTCATCATCACCATCTTCATGATCAGGTTACATGTCAAGTTCCACTAAGCATATCAACATATTCTGTTTGGTAGGGGGCAAAAGTTGCTTGGTGGTAGCAGTGTGGGCCTTGCTTCCTTCAGGTGGCTGGCGGCCAAGACCACGGCCCACTCAACCTGGTAGAAGCGCTGGACATAGGCGCACCCGCCCAGATGGTGTGTGTTTGGGTGTTTTTTCTTCCTGGGTAGGGTTTTTGAGTTGGGTGCTCACACATGCCTGTCAATTGAACCCTTGTGAACTAGGGCCGTTGAAAGCGGTAAACAAATCACCCAAATGCCAGCTGCCTTGCGAATGGATCCCCCCGCTCAAGTGCTTTCGTTAAAGCCTGTGAACTGAGTTGACCGTATGACAAGGCTTAATGATGGCAGTCCAAGCCGAAATAAGCCTAGGTGTCCGCAACAGCCAACCCCTGAAATCCAGAACCCTGGGCAGAGACCTGAAAAGCTATCAGCTGTTAGGAAAAGCAGCACCAACTCAAAAACCACTTGCGAAAGAAGCGAATCAACCTACGACACGTTGGTTTTCCCATAGTCTACTTTGAGCACAAGTCCCGGAAGGCGATCTCCAATTTCCCTGCTGAGATCACACACACTCACATCCTCAAGCTTTGTCGTGGGCCTAGGGTTCAACTCCCGTGTCTCAACACCATCCTTCTAGTTCCGCTGCCTTTCACCGGGCTGCTCACTCCATGAGCTCCGTTTCGGACGGACTGGCCAGCAAGGGGCTTGTCACCAGCTGGTCAAAGGAAGTTTAGGAGGGAACTTCCCTGTGCCGGACGCTAAGTGACGCTAGTCTTGCGCACAGATGAGATGAAGCAAGAATGAATGCAAGCGGGAAAACATGCGTGGGCATGTGGCGGGGAATGCAAACCACGAACAGGAGTGGCCCTCTGCGGGGTTTGGCGTCAAAGTCACGACACCTGTCGGGAAACGGGTTCTGAAACAAAGTCAGGTAGATATATACTGTAGACTGAAAAAAATGGGTATACATACAGATCAATACAAGTAAAGATAGACCGACAGACAGGCAGATAGATAGATAGACAAGTGTAAAGATGCACGAGTAGATTGATGGAAAGATACAAAGATCTCGAGATAGATCATGGGTGGATAGCATGGCTGGATGGATGCATGGAAAGATGGGGAGATAGGTAGACGGATAGGGAGATAGATAGAAAGATGACTGGATGGATAAAGCTTGGCAGAAAGATAGACCCGTACATATGTAGATATGATAGATAGATAGGTAGGTAGAAGATAGATACATCTAGAATGATTGGCGGATTGACTGACTGGTTGATTGATTGTTGGATTGCTTGCTTGCTTGATTGCATGATTCCTTGGCTTGTTGGTTGGATGCTTTGTTGGTTGGTGGTTGGCTGATTGCGAGAGACATGGGCAGGAGGCTTGGGTACGTTGTTAGATAGCTAGCGCGATAGCTAGATGGATAGATAAGCAGATAGACGGATGGAGAGAGATAGGTTAGGTTAGGTGAGGTTGGGTATGGTCAGCTAGATAGATAGACAAATGCATAGCAACATGCAAATATGGGGCTCTACGCGAAGGATTTTCGAGACAGAGAGGAGGAAGAGAACGAGACAGGGAAAGAAAGACAAGATAATGAGAAAGAGAAATAACAAAAGAAAGAAGAGAAATAAAGAAGATAATGATAAAGAGAAAGAGACAGAGACAGAGAAAAAGAGAGAGAAGAAACGAGAAAGGGGAAGAGAGAGAAACAACGATCATGAAAAGGGTAACTATAGTTCTATGTATTTTTGATGCTTGGAAACCACAGTTTGGTTGCTTTTTCTGGCCAACCCACTTAACATTTTCTGCCCAACCCTTTTCATGAACTTGCGGGCCGACATTCAGAGAAGAAAACTTTCGAGGCGAGTCACGGTGGAGCGAATGGGCACCATTGCCGGAGCACCTCAGTGACGGATTTGCAAGAAGCCAAGGGGGTCGAGTCTGAGAGCCCCGCCAAACTCCACAGGGCTCCTTAAGCGATACATTTTGCAACCATTTGAAACATGTGGTTTTTTCAACACCAACATCAAGGGAAACCACCATTGACAAGGCAATGTATAATGTAAGGATCCCTGTTCCACGTAGCTGGAGCACTTCCCCCGTTTGGGTGTAGTTAACCCAACCCCTTTGCGCACATAAAGGGGAACTGTGCCATCTACTTTGACCCTGGCGTAGGGGTAGTTTGGATGCCGACTCCCCTTTGCATTCCTTTGAAAAGTGCTGAAGACGTATTAACAAAGTCCATGACTGGGGGATCCAACATGTTAGCCAGCACTCTTCAACATAGCCAGACTTAAGGCCCTTTTATGATCGGTTCCCTTTGCTTGCCATTTTAAGCAGCAGAACGTGTCAGATTTGTGGGGCGCATGGCTAAGAGGATCAAACCGCTGGCGCCAAAGTTGTTCTTCTGAGCCTGGCAATTGGTTGAAGATGAAGCCAATACATGTTGCGGATTCAGATTCAGATCGGCTGCCCGCGCCTTGCTCCATGAAAGACAAAGAAGCAGGGATCGTTTAAAGCAGGTTTCGGGTGGAAGGGATGACGTGGGGCCTTCCAAACAAAGAGTCCTTTACCCAACTTAGCTACTTCAGTTGCAGGGGGGTCCCCTGCAAAGGTTTGTTTTGCTGCGCACGGCCAGGTTTTTAAGGAGTTCGCCTGTGGATTATGCCCAGGGTTGCAAGAATGAGTTGCGTGTGTGTTCCCCACTTCTGTGATACAAAAGGTCAGGTAACCTTAGTTGGTCGTTCGGATTGGTGGCTGAGGGATTTTGAAGCCTGGTTCTTGCAGAGGGTAGCTGTGAAATCACCCCCGAACCTCCAAACCACAAGACCAACCACAAGACCAACCACCAACTAATTAGAGGGAAAGCAAAGCCCCACTGATTACTCCACAGTCGCTTGACGCCCCAAGTATCGCAAGTAGGGAACAAAGGACAGCGGTATGATTTACTGTAGCGGCCAGGGTCTTGGGATTGGATGTGGTTGGTTCACTTAACCTGCGGCTCGAGGTGACTGTGGGGCGGTCTTGGTCCAAGACTTTGCCACGCTGGTTCTTGTTGGCTGCGGTCCTGATGGCAAGACGCGCTTTCTGACTTGGCGACTCGGTTTGGCAAGCCCGAGATTAGACACCAAGGGGCGCCCAGGATCAGAATCCCTTGTGATGGTTTCCCATTGATGTTCAATGCCCCGTTCGGAACCTCGAAAAGTAGCAGCTTCAATAGAACCCACAAGTAAATCGGAACTTTCGAAGGGGAAATCGACCCCTGCTGAAAGACCCCCCTTCAGGTTTAAAGAGAAACGCGCGAAATTCATGCAGGCTGATTAGTCTGGGGTCGACGCTGACCTGGCGACTGACTTGGCTGTTTGGGTTTGACACGCTGCCCGTGCGCCCGAAAAACGAGCATGCAGACGTTCACACTGTCCACTTTTGGGCCTGAGGTTCAGTGGCATTCTCCTTGGTGTGTTCAAGCCATGCTTGGCCATTCCTTTGCCACTTTGCCTTGGCCTTGGTTGTTTGCCACTTTGCTTTTGGAGCAGCTAGGGGGGGTCCCTTGAGACTCTACTACGCCAAGAGAGAGGTGTTCTTTATCCGGGCCTGGCTCAATAATTGCCTATTGTGGATGGATGTTCACACAGGCGCCCTGTACCAAAGGTGCCCTCCACTTCTCAATACTTGTCAGACTGGTCGCTGCCCAATCCTGAGAATCCAAGGGTGTAGGCCGAAGGCTTGTATTCTTGCCAAATGCTGGGTCCCTCGAAGCACTCCAAAGCCGTCTTCCAAAGATGAGACACACCATATGTTTTTCAGGGCACATAAAGAGGCATGCTGAGACCAGGGGGCCAACAAACATCCTATGTAAGTCTGGGTTCGCTCAAGTGACCCGAAGTCAAGAACAACAACCGCCAAGGCCCCCCCCCTCCCGTAACTGCGGGCAAAAAGAGGCTCATTTGAGCCAGATCCGAGTGACTCGGCAATTGCCCACTGTAGACGATGCCTTGCTCACTTGCCCAAAGTAGTACAGTAGTCGTCGCCAGGGAACCTTTTTGGGGACGGCCGTTTCCCAGTTGTCTTGTAGTGATTGCGATGTTGGCGAGGTTTCATCTTCAGCCAAGTTTCCGGCTTCCCTCGTGCCAAGGCTTTTGGAAGAAAACAGCGCAACCGTTGCGGCAAAGGGTCTTCCTTGATCCCAGCTTCGGAAGAGGGTCCCCCAGCACCCTCCGGCTCGCATCCGAAAAAGGCTGGCTTTTCTCTGCCTTGTTGGACCGCACGTCCGATGTTTGATAAACCCGGGCATCTCATCGGTTTGGTCGCATGACTGCCCTTGAACCTATTCTGAGGCACGATCTTGCAATTGCTACCCTTCCTATCATGGTAAGCAATGATCCGTTGACCAACACGCAAACTTCAAGATCCCTTATGGCTATGCAGTTCCACCAAATCGCATCCTGATTTGTCCATCGCATGACAAACAACATCTGCTTTTGGTCAAGCTGCAGGAACTTCCCAGAAAGTCCATTTTTGGTTCGACGCGCCCGGCCAAAATCGCCCAAGGCGGCAGGGTGCCGCCGCCTGGGCGCCGTTTTCTCCACCTCCCGGCCGCGAGAGTCGCACGCTGCCGGCCCTGGCAGCGACGAACCGCTGCCTGCCGCGTGGCGCCAATGATGGGACCTGCGCTCAACGACTACTTTGCTGCCCCTAAAAGCTCCCTAAAAAAGACACCCTAAACCCTAAGCCCTAATCCCTACACCCTAAGCCTATGAGTTTCTGGTCATGACTCAATGCTTGTTTCGCCTTGTTCGGCTGCTTGAAGCGGGTTCAGCAACCAATTGAACCTTTCCGGTAGAAGATGTCTCAGGCATGCACAAATACTCTTGCAAATGATCGGAAGGAACCCACAAAAAAGGTCCATTTCCTAAAAAGTCCCCAAAGGCGATTCCGTTCCGCAAACGGGCCCTTGTGTTAGTGTTTTTTTTTTTTGGGGGGGGGGCATGTTACTTTATAGGAAGTGTCTTTGTGGGAGCGGATGTTGGGAATAGGCGCAAAACGTGGCAGCCATCGCCTGAGGCGTTGGTTTGGTTGACGCATTGTTGGGTGGGTTGATGACTCTGTTATGTGTCGTTTGTTGCCTTGTATATGTGTGTGTGTGTCCTCTGTTTGTTTGTTTGTTTATTTGTTTCTTTGTTTGTTTGTTTCTTTCTTTCTTTGTTTGTTTCTGTGTTTGTTTGTTTGTTTGTTTGTTTGTTTGTTTGTTTGTTTGTTTGTTTGTTTGTTTGTTTGTTTCTTTGTTTCTCTGGTTGTTTGTTTGTTTGTTTGTTTGTTTGTTTGTTTGTTTGTTTTGTTCTTTGTTTGTATCTGTGTTTGTTTCGTTGTTTCTTTGTTTCTTTGTTTGTTTGTTTGTTTGTTTGGTTGGTTGGTTGGTTGGTTGGTTGGTTGGTTGGTTGTGTGTTTGTTCTTTGTTTCTCTGTTTGTTTGTTTGTTTCTTTCTTTCTTTGTTTGTTTCCGTGTTTGTTGGTTTATTTGTTTGTTTGTTTGTTTGTTTGTTTCTCTGTTTGTTTGTTTCTTTCTTTCTTTGTTTGTTTCTGTGTTTGTTTGTTTGTTTGTTTGTTTGTTTGTTTGTTTGTTTGTTTGTTTGTTTGTTTGTTTGTTTCTTTGTTTCTCTTTGTTTGTTTGTTTGTTTGTTTGTTTGTTTGTTTGTTTGTTTGGTTGGTTGGTTGGTTGGTTGGTTGGTTGGTTGGTTGTTTGTGCTCACGGCGCGATTAGCGAGCGTGGGCTCGTACGCTGATTTTCTTCTGTCCGACCACGTGTGGGGGGGGGGTGCGGGGGGGATATTAGCGACCGTGGGCTCGTACGCTGATTGTCTTCTGTCCGACCACGTGTGGGGGGGAGGGGTGGGGGGGGATGTCAACGTCGGAACTACTGCGTGACAGGTTTCAAGAGCATCAATCTGTCAAGGCGTTTGCAGGGGTGGGGGGGTGGGGTGGGGGGGCATGTCAACGTCCAAAGTAAGTGTACCACTTTGTGTTCTGGAGCAAGCATTGGGTTGTCCATGCCCATCTCTTGCTGCTGCTTTACATGTGAAACGCAGTTGTCTTTGTGTTTGGCCCACGTTTTGCTGCTGCGCATCGCTAGGTGGCCGCGTCCAGTTCCAGATGATTGGTTCGCTCCGTTTTGGTCTTGTGACGTTTGGCTGTTGGATTCACACCAGGAAATATTTGCTGGGTGCAGCGGCGGCGATGCAGTGGTAGCTTTGGCGTCGTCAATAGGGGCGATATCTGAGCGCAGTCCGTTGCCTTGGTCGCAGCTACCTGATGCTTTGCCTCGGCTTCGTTTTGCCTGGTCGCTGGTGTCCGCGGCTCACCCTGTCTTGCCACGTGCGTTGACTGCTGCTTGCTTTGTGCTCTCGCGGCGGATTCTGTCTGGATCGTTGGGCGTGCACGTGTCTCCATCTAGTTTTCGCGCCTGCTTCGTTGCCAGCCATGTCGGCAAGCTCTACGTGCGCTAATGTTCCGTCAGGAGAAAAAATAAAGGACCACCGCATCCGCCGCCAGCTGCGCGTCACCGTGCCAGTGCGGAACGTGCCAAAGTATACAAAACCTGTGAGTTTTCCATACGAAACAGCGGTGCCTTCTGTTCGGTTTGAAACCAAAACCCACCAAAACGCAGGGTTTTGAGCCAGGCGTGTTGGCGCAGGGGGGGTCCAATCCACCACGGTCACTAAGCGCCGCAACCTTGTTTGTTCTTTGTTTGTTTGTGTGTTTTTTTGTTTGTTTGTTTGTTCTTTGTTTCTTTGTTTGTTTGTTTGTGTCTTTGTTTGTTGCTGTGTTTGTTTCTTTGTTTGTTTGTTCTTTGTTTCTTTGATTGATTGTTTGTTGTTTCTTTGGTTGGTTGCTTGGTTGCATGGTTGCCTGGTTGCTTGGTTGCTTGCTTGCTTGTTTGCTTGTTTGTTTGTTTGTTCGTTTGTTTGTTTGTTTGTTTGTTTGTTTGTTTGTTTGTTTGCGTATGTGTTTGTTTGTCAGTTTGTTTGCCGGTCGTTTTTGTTTGTCTGTCTGTCTGTCTGTCTGTCTGTCTGTCTGTCTGTCTGTCCGCTTGTTTGTGTGTTTGTGTGTTTGTTTGTGTGCCGTTATCTTCAGGACTGTTGGGGTGAGCGTGTTTCTTGGCTTGAGCCTGTTGCTATTAGAACTTTGCTTGGGCATCCGTTGTGACATGCGATGGTCAGTGATTCGCCCAGGTTCGTCATTGGAGGCATGCTCCCCCACGCCACCTGGCAAGGAATTCAGTTCTTTATAGGAAGCCGCGCCACTAAGAACTTTTGAGGACTTCGCCTGAGATCGCTTGAATAACCCTTTGCTTGACATGCAACCCGACAAGCCCTGTCACGTTTGGAGAAATCTCCTCTTGCGCTGCCCCTTGTTTGGTGTCCCTCGGTTGTGTGAGGGGAAGCTATTGGCATACCCCGTTCTGCTGAAGACAAAATCGCCCCCCCTCAGAAAGGTTCGGAGAAGCCTTTCAACAACACACATATGCAGGTTCTAGCATCAATTTCTTGGGGGTGGGGGCATTTGTTGGTTTCCTGCCTACTATCTTTCTTTTGGAGGGGGTTGTGCCCCAACCAATTCAAAGAGAACAGGGACACAATTTTCAGTTCCTCCTCATTTTAGTCATAGTTATATTCAGAGTGTTTCCTGGCCAGAGAACTCAACAGGCTTGGACGACCCTAAATGGGTGGTAATACCTGGTTTTGTTTTGAGGATGCTACACACATGATTTGGTTTTGGGGTCAGAATCATAGGTTGACATCACTGAGTTTTTAGCCATGGCATCGGCAAGTCGTTCTATGGAAACAGTGAATGTCGGGAGAACCTTCTACCTGATTTGGAGGGGCCTGCGTGCTTTCATTGAGAAACATCTGCATGAACTCAGTGTACTCGCTGTTCAGCAAGATCTGGCTGGCCCTCTTGATGACGGCCGGTTGCGCGCCCTTGAACTTGCTGGTTCCTACCGTGGGTTGCTATGAAACGGTTTGCTACAAAAACCGGGCTTGTGGTTTTATAAAGGCCTGTTTTGTTTTTTTGGTTAAAGACAAACAACACAGTTGGTTTTTATTTGAACACAAGCCCAGTGCAGGAGGACGCAGACGTGGGCTTCGTGGACGTCTTCAACTTCGCCGAGGGCAGCTGGCGCGCTTTGCCCAACCTCCCGCGGCCCAGGCGCCAGGCCTTGGCGGCCTGCGCCCAGGGGAAGGTCTACGTGCTCGGAGGCGATGTTCGGGGGCCGCGCGGGCGAGCGGTCGCGGTGGTTTGGAGTCAAAAAGGTGGGAAGTGGACTTGTCTCCCATTTTCTTTGCAATTAATGTGTGTTATTTTCCCCTGTCACCCTGGCCATTAAAATTTAGCCCCTTATATAGACCTTTTGGAGCCAAACTCGTCTTTTAGCATGAAGCCTGCAAAAGGTGTTCGACCTGGCCTGCTCACTATGCAGCAGGCCTGGCAGCCGGCCCGGTGGAGTATGTGGACTGCTGCCCAGCCAAAGTTTCGTCGGACACCTCGCTTTTGGTTTAAGGTCCTGAAGGCTTTGTCAAAAACACGGCGTTGGACGTCTGAATTGCGTCCTTATGTGTTTTTGCTTTAAACCAAGGTCGGTGTCTTTCTTTGCTGGGCATCTGAAAGTGTTAATAGCTCAAGTGCAACATGTGTTTTTAGTGACATTTACACTTATTTGGTGTCCCCTTTAAAGCTTTAAACCAAGGTCCGTGTCTTTGCTTTGGAGACCCTGCTTCTCCAATTCGAATTGAACTAATTACAGTAAGTGTGCGATGCTTTGGATATTGTTTGCCCAGCGCGTAGCTACACAAGCCGCTGACGCATGAGTCACCACCACACCCCCTTCCCTTGTTTCCCCAAGATAAGACCCTAACTTCCAGCCTCACCCAGAAAGGGAAACTCTATTCAACTGTTGCTGTACAGGAATCCCTATGTTGCCCCTTTTGGTCTCACACATGTTCGATCAGATGAGGAGAGCATAGGGTTTCCCTTGGCAGGGTGCATGCTTGAAAGGGACATATCAAGACATATCTCTACATATATTTTATAAGTATGCTATATCTATATATTTGTTGACCATACACACATACGTACATGTATACATATACTTTTGTTCTTCTACATACATAAAAGTTTATACTTGCATATATGTGTATATGTGTAGATATGTGTAGATATGTGAAGAAAATATAAAATTTCTAAGAAGACCCGCCGTACCGCCGGTCACCGGGCTCAAGGCTTCGACTTGCGGCGGAGCGAGTGGTCCCAGCTGCCGGACCTGCCAGACGCCTTCGCCGCGAATGCGGCGGCGGTGTCGGTGCGCAGCGCGGGCGGCTTGGAGCCACGGGGGTTTTTAGCGGGCCTGGGTAGCTGGATCACAAGGGGGAAAAATCCAGGCACTTCTGTGGAATCTGGGTTCTGGTTTTCTGGTTGAAGGGTCAAAGGGTGAAAGCTTACAGGAAACTCAGGAAATTTAGCTGTTTTCCCTGTAGAATTAATTCCCTGCAAACCAGCCCTTTGAAAGGGGCTTATCCAGCCGCTTCTGTGGACTCTCATCTTGAAACTGGTCTTTGGGAAGCCCTTGCTGTTGTATCACAGAAGTGTTCACCTGCCATTGGTTTAGATGAACCCAAGAGATTCTACTCGAACTGACAGGGACATCTATTTTAGACCACTGGGTTCCATTGGTTGAAGTGATTCATTTAGGGCCATCTATTTTTACCAAAGGACACCTATGCCTGCAATGATTTCGGGGGTTCCGAGCCATGCCGTAGAGGCTGCCTCAAAGGTGGCACTGTCTGAGTTTCGGAACTCGGACTTTTGTTCCTTTTCAGGTTTGGACCATTTTAGTGGCACATAAAAAGGTCATTTTTTGCCGAGCCATTTCAAGAAGTTTGAAGAAGTACAAAGTGCGTTTCTAAAATCCATATAACGGTTGAGGGTTCAGAGGAAAAGCGTTCCAATATGTCTGTGAGACCTGCTATAAAAAATGGGACCCTGCAGAAGGCATGGTGCCATTCGTGCGAGACCATGTTTTGTTTCGGCCAGGTTTTGCCGGGAGTTCATTGGTACAATCCCTGTACTTCTTCCGGGCCTGTGTTCGACCGTTGTGCCAGGGTCTTCGAAGCATGCTTGTTAGAGAGACCAACTACCAGCGATACCGGAGCACCAGGCATGAGTCACTAATTGGTGGATCGGACTGGTGGTTTGGTCATTGGAAGCCCTGCTTCTTGTAGAGGGTAAACGGGAAACCTCCCCGCTTCACCATCAAACCACCGATCCAAATCATGAAGTGAGCTGAATGAAGGAGGTTTGGTTCTTGAGCCCCAAGCAAGTTTGGTTTGACAGGCAGGCTCCACAGCCCGTAGACCCGTTGACTCGTTGACTCGTTTAACAGGGAAGCTCCGCGTCGTTCCGAAGCTCAGCTGCCGAGCCTTTGACCTCTTGAACCGTTGACCTTTTCTTCCATTTTTGTCATGAGTCATGGCCGCCAGAAGATTCACCTTGTGTTTCGGGTCCTTTGGGCAAGTGAGTAAAAGATCAAGAAAACCACGGCGAAAGTGGTCGAAGAGTCAAACCATGGGGGTGTTCCTTTCCAGGGACCAATTTTCCACACTCGCAGATCTTTAGGAGCCGTCCCAAATGGACCAAATACTGGATGCTTTGCTCACTTCTCCGTCGCCTGGCCAAGAGAATGTCATTTACCACCCACCCAAAACTACACCAGAAGCCAGCCCGATGACAAACTTTCATGATCAGCTCCCCTGCAGCCAAAAGACCTAGATTGATAACATGTGATAGCATTTTGGGTTGCAGCCAAACATGGTGGCCAAGCCGGGAATCTCAGGTGAAAAGGAGGAATCGGGCAACCAAGTTGTGCTTTTCGCTGTGCGCGAAGAGAAGATTACACTTGGATGTTCAGCCAACTTAATAGGTCACAACCATGGATATGAGTTGTTGACAAACTCTGTTGGCTGAGATGCAAATGACAATATACTTCAGTGGACACTCAAAGCTTCAGGGGACTTACTAGTTTCATTCTGTCCTTTGGAAGGGTGGCGGGAATGAGTTTTTTCCCCACTTCTGTGACCTTCCTTCCCCTCAGTACAGACTTAGTCATGGAGAAGTCCTTCGGAGGAGTTCCCCTACCTTCACACCACTACTCCCAGAGGAATTCTGGGTGTATGCCCTTAAAGTGATTGGAATACTGGTTGTATACCCCATGTTTCCCTAGAGGCTAGTGGTTTGGTAGTGGAAGCAATTTTAGACTGTCGGAGGCTTACCCTCCCAAAAGCGATTGCATGGAAGCTCTCAGGACCCCTTTGGAAAACTTGGTAACCCGTTTGCAGAGGCCAATTGGGGAGCTTCCGGCTGTTCGGACAACCCCGAACGATGGTTCGGGAAGCGTTCGATGACGGGTTCTGTCCCGACCAGGCCCTTAGTGGAAGCGGGAGCGGAGAAAGACAAACATGCGGCGACTCGCGACTCCCGTGAGTTCAGACGTCCCCAAGGTGTTCCTGAGTGCTTTCGGTCTAAGAGTTTGCTTTGGAAAGGCACGTGTTTCAGAGAGTTGCTTTGTTTGCAGTGTGTTTAGGATGGAAGTAGAAGATACCAGTAGAAGTATAAGTATTGTACATGTATTCATTCTGTCTCCCTCAAATCTTTTCCAAACTGGTCCAAGCCATGATGGTAGGGAGTCTATATGAGGGGGTGCTTGAAGTTATATTCAAGTGGAAGAGGGTGTTAAGACCACCCTCAGCAACGGACACTTTGAAAGCGGAATCCACTTGAGGATTTCACCTGGTGTTTGTCACAAGTCTCTCGCACCCAAAGGAGTGCACTCTCTGAGCTTCCTCTCTCTCTCTCTCTCTCTTAGTCAGCACTCTTTTACCCGCACCAATGCGGAAGTGCACGGACCCCTTCCTAAAGTGAAGGTGGTTTTGGGTTTTCCCAAATGGGCTTGTGCATGAAGTCTGTACTTGACTTCCCAAACATGACTTTGAATGAGTAATGTCCCAAGTAGCGGCGTAAATTCCCACTTTGAATAATTGAAACAAGGGGGCGGCGCCTCGCTGAATTCTGAAGGTGCAGGTCTGCAGGATGTTTTGTCTGGTCCGCGCCTGTTCCCCTGTTGAACAGTTGAGCAGGTGTTCACAAAAGGTTCCTTTAGGATGCTACATGTTGGTCTGCAGGCGGTCGTGACCATGGAATTCAACCTGTTTAGGGTTACCTCCTGCTTAGCAGAGCAGAGCTTTACCAGTGGTTTTAAAGAAACACCAAAAGGAAAACCACCATTTCGGGGTCCAACCTCAAAACAGACACCCACACAGTACTCCTATTGCTTGATTTGGGCCCCCCGGCGACTCTTCTCCGTGGGTCCGAATCAGACCTTTCAGTTTGCCCATAGAGCTTCGCTAGAGCTGTGGAGCCTGCAATCAGAATATGTTTTTTTTTCACCTTCCGTGGAGAGCTAAAGAGTCAGTACAGTAGCCTTCAGTCGAGGCGAAGCTCCCAGTTCCACTCGGATCACTCGGCACGGGAAGGAAGCTGAAAGCTTATCCGGGCCAAGGAAGCCGAGGACTCCAGCCGAACTTGGGCCATAAGTCAAAACCCGGGGAGAAGGTGAGGGAAATATGGTCTGCACCAAAGCCCGGCGCGGCTTTTTTTTTGGTTCAACTTGGATTTGGGTCCCGGGTCATCCCACCCATTCGGGTCCCCGAATCCCAGGCTTGGCCTTTCCCATTTTGCCGCCCCGATTCAATCGCGCAGCCAGGTGCGGGCGCTTGAAGCCAAGAACCCCGGGGACCCTTCCTCCGCGTCGCGTGGGCCTGGGGGCTTTGAAGGTTGGCTTCCTGGGGCCAGGGATTGAGAGCCAATTGGACCAACTGATGGGTGGTAGGCCAAGGATGGGTTTTAAGGCCAAAGAAGTCAGCTGAGAGGGGGCCATTGCTTTACTATGGGGCCCTGAAGTCATTGCGACGTCAACATCGCGCCGTGGATGGTGGCGAAATCCGCGGCACCACGAAATGAAACCATGGTTGAAACCGTTGCGTGTTGGTATTTAGGAAGGAATCAGCAAAAACCAGGGTTTCTTAGGTGGTGCAGGATATCGTCATCCCCAGTAGGGACCGATTCTCAAGAAACCCTTGTGTTTTCGGATTGTTCCCATGGAGTTTTTGTCGGTAAATCGGAAACCACCCCTAAACCAAACCACCAATCCAACCACCATCAGAGGGAAGCTGAGATTCCTATTGCGCACTTTCTGCCAGGCTTTCCCTGCCATCACAAATCACCCGTTGTGAACATCATTTGTTGGGGTCATGATTGAAGAGCAGCCTGTTGGTTGATGCTTAGAGGGGAAATGCCGGGAAAGCTGTTGATACTGTGGATGGATGAAATTCTGCAACACGAAACCATGCAAAAATAGCTGTTTGTTTGTTTTTACAGTGCGGTCATCATTCCAGAGTTTCCTAGGTGGTGCAGGATTTCGTCCTTCCACGATGGGGACCCCTGAAGAAGTTGTTCCTGCCTGCACTTCCATGTGTTTGGTGGAAGGGTGTTGAACGCGCTGCTTGCACGTTTGCTGCAAGCAAGGGCATGTGTTCCAGTCATGACAACTGCTACTCTCCAGCAACACGTTTTCTTTCCAAAAGCCAAGGTTTCGGGTAATCCTTGGTTGGTGCTTGGATTGGCGGTTTGGATTCGCTTTGAACCCCTGATTTTTGTTGAGGGTAAATGGGGTTCCCACCCCTGAACCTCCAAAACCATCGCGCTAAAAATAAAAATAAAAGTAAGGCGGAAGCTGGCGTTTGGTCGGTGTTCAAGGGAAGCCAAAAAGTGAACCACCATTTTGGGGACCGGGTCCCCCCAACAAGACATAGCCATGGTAAATCCGCCTATACCACAGCAGACCATCCCTAAAAACGCAAACAGTCACAAACACAATGGCTTCAAAAGGGCTCCTTAAACAACACATGTTGAAACCATTTGAAACAATTTGTCCACCCAAATAAAGGGACACCACCATTTACAAGGCAATGGTTAGGTGTATAATGCAAGGATCCCCGTTCAATGCGGAGGGTTTTTTCTTCCCGAGTGAAGCGCATCGCTTTCTTCCAACTCCGATACTTTGCGGCAGGACTTTGAGGCGATTCGTCACCTGGTCATGGGCCCGACACCTGGTGGGTTGCACTGAAAAGGGGCGGGGAGAATGTGGGGCATGGGGTTTAAGGAGTTGCTTCCAACTAGCTAGAAGCAATTCTAAGATTTGATGCCGGATTTGTGCTTCACTACCCAGGCAGTTTGGATTGGCGGTTTGGATTTGGATTTGAACCGGCTTAGGGGCTGCAAACCATTCCGCGAGAAGCTGACGTGTCTGGCCGGGGTGTGCTTGGGCTCTATGTGGGCTCACCACCGGACTGGTTGGCTTGGAGAACTGCACTGCCTACTCCCGGCTTCCCATGCGACCCAAGAGGACTGAATATGAGTGACCGAACCTGAAGCTGCTTGACATCAAAGTGGGGCAAGTTGCAGGTTCTGCATATGTTTTTCCATATCATATGCATCCTGGGGCCCATTTTGTGCACCTGTCTTGTTTTTGAGCCACAGGCCATTGAACCGTTTCCAAGTTCCATGGAACCCGAAGCCGTGAGATTTCCCTTTGTCACGGTTTCAGCCGCTCCAATGCATTCCTTTCTGACTGGTGGTGTCTCAGGTGGGAAAACCGCCGTATGATCTATGCACGTTGTGTATGACCGCTATTGACAAATTGGCTCGGGGCCTCTTTCGGGGCTGAAAGCCCACTTTTCAAGCTTCTCAGGACGGGGTCGGCATACACTCGATCCGGAGATTCACGCAGGTGAGAACTACCGGAAGTCCTTCCAGGAGCCGGGTCCATTGAGCCATGGGAGCCATCGGAGTTTCACTCGACAGGATGGAAATTCCATGTCTCATTCCAAACCCCGTAACCAGGAAACAGTTGAAAGGTAAATGGCTTGTGCTTTCACACGGATGATCACAGATGCCTTGCCCAACAGGTTTGCCCCACAAATCGGACAGGGCCCGAACCTCTCGGAGCGAACGTCAAAGCCTTCACCTGGGGTATTGGCTGCAAATGGCTGCCATCAATTGAAAGGTTGCGATAGTTGAGCCCCAAAAAGGTGCGACTATGCGGTAGAATGGCATCAGGACAGGAACAAATCCTCCAATTCTGGTCCCCTTCTTCTCCCAGGCGGGAAAATCAGGGACAACCTGTCAGGCTCCTGGCCAACATTCTTGGGCGTCATTTGTTTCAGAGGTGTGACTTGTCGTTGGCTGTTCGGACCAAGAACCACTCTGAGATCCCAAATTTCCGAGAGCCATTGCTGTGAGGAGGAAGTCTAACCCAGTCATGGCATTCCTTGGTATCACGAGCAGGCTGATTTTGCACGGCGGTTTTCTTTGAATCTGCGGGAGATGCTAAAATGGTTGCTTTCAGGAGCTGTGAGCTACTTTAGGAAGCTTATCGCTCTGAGCGGCAGGTAAAAGAATCACCTCCTTGGGCCAGACACTTGGTCGATGTTTGATTTGTCCCAACTTTTTGACCTCTTTGGAATGTGACGTTGTTGTTGGATTGTTGCAGCCAGTTGCCCACTTTGTTGCAGGGTAACGGGTTGGACACCATTTTTTCGGTGTTTTTCTTGTTCTTTAACACCAAATGCAATAAGCCACTCGTCTTGCAACAAGTCGACCACTTTTGGGGGTCAGACGTGACCAACTCACTCCGGACGCCTTGAGACCACAAAACTGACCAAAGATTCAATAGGGGCGCCATGGCGACTGCGATCACTCAGGCCTCCAGGTGTGTCATTTTGTTGTTTGGGGGGCCTTGTCCTTGAAAACCAAGCAAGCCAACATCCGGGTCGGCTTTTTTCCTGGAGGTTTGGGGCCTCTTGAGGCTTAAATATTGGAGGAACACCGAACCGCCAAGTGGCTTTGTGTGAGGTGTTTTTTTTGGGCTTCCTTTGGTTTCCATTGGGTTTCATTTTGTGTCTATGTTGTGTCCATTTTGTGGGTGTGGGAAGTGTTTAATGATTTGAGCGACTTTCAGCGACCTAAGGTCGCATAGACTTATCAGTCAGTGGCTCCTAAGTAGGGCCACCTTGCCATGTGGTTGGTTCACCAGATTAGCTGGTCGAAACATCACATTTGATCCGAGTCACCAACAATGCAAATGGGCAGAAGTGCCGAAGAAGTCATGGTGGATCATGGGGCTTGGCATCTAAGCAAATGGAAGTAGGACAAACTTGTGTGTGCCAAGCAGAAACCCACCCGGATTGGAGCATGGATTGATCCAGGGCTCTATTTGTGCTGGCACCCAAGAGAACTCAAGAACCCAGATTTGATTTATTGGAACGCAATCGGAGCCCTTAGGTTTAAATCCGTTTTGGGGACTCCAACGTGT